ATGTTGCCCCATGCTCACGCTGTACATACAGAATTGGTGACACAAACAATACAGGAACTCTATCACTAAACAATCACTGGAAGAAGTATTCAACATCTTTACTTTATTGAAAGTACAATGTAAAAATACTGTAAATGCAAATGTGCAAATAAATGTCCTGCATTCAAAAATGAGCTCAAGTAGAATAGTATCATCAGCAAAATGTGCCAAAGGAAATGTTTTTTAAGAAAAATATCCACTCTCAAAGCACTTTATTAGGCACACCTGTACACCTGCTTATTCATACAATTATCTAATCAGCCAATCACATAGCAGCAGAGTAATACATAAAATCATGCAGATACAGGTCAGGTCAGTTACTGTTCACATCAAACATCAGAATGGAGAAAAAAATGTGATCTCAGTGACTCTGACTGTGGCATGATCGCCGGTGCCAGACGGGCTGTTTTGAGTGTTTCTGAAACTGCTGATCTCCTGGGAGTGTTTTTACTCACAATGGTGTGAAAAATGACACAAATGAAACAAAAACCATCCAATGAGCGGCAACTCTGTGGACAGAAACGCTTTGTTGATGAGTGAAGTCAAAGGAGAATGGCCAGACTGGATGGAACTGACAGAAAAGCAACAGTAACTCTCTTTACAACTGTGGTGAGCATAAAAGCATCTCAGAACGAACAGCGTGTTGAACCTTGAGGTGGACGGGCTGCAACAGCAGGAGAGGACGTCAGGTTCCACTGCTGTCGATCAAGAACAGAAATATGAAGCTGTGGAAGGAAACAGGCACATCGACACTGAACCGTTGAAGACTAAAAACATCAGCTTGCTCTGATGAATCTGGATTTCTGAAGAGGCACACAGATGGTCGGGTCAGAGTTTGGCATCAACAGCATGAATCCATTGACCCAACCTGCCTTTTGTCAACAGTCACGGCTGGTGGTGCTGGTGTAATGGTGTGGGGAATGTTTTCTTGGCACACTTTGCATCCCTCACCAATCATCATCTGAATGCCACAGCCTGTCTGAGTATTGTCGCTGACCGTGTGCTTCCCTTTATGGCCACAATTTACCATCTTCTAATGGCTACGACGATCATGATAATGCACCATTAAGTAAAAGTCGTCTCAAACTGGATTCATGAACATGACAGTGAGTTCAGTGTGTATCAGAATCCACTGGAAGACCTTTGGGATGTGGTAGAACTGGGGATTGGCAGCATAAATGTGCAGCTGACAAATCTACAGAAGTGATGCGATACAATCATGTCAGCATGGAGCAGAATCTCAAAGATCAATGCCGTGAAGAGCTGAGGCTGTTTTGAGAGCAGAGGGAGGAACTACCCAGTAATAGTATGGTGCTCCTGATAAAGTGCTCAGTGAGTGTATTATTATATAATTAGATTCTAATACTAATGCATCACTGCATAAGCATTCATTCAAATGCTGAAGCTGTTTTAAGTGGAGTTAATTGTTTGGTAGTTTAGGTCAGTGGATCACAATCTAAAAGATAAATGGGCTGCACTTACATAGCACTTTTCTATCACACACGCTGATGCTATATCAGGGGCAGTTTGGGGTTCAGGATCTTGTCCAAGGACACTTTGACATGCAGACTGGAAGAGCCAGGGATTGAACTACTGATCTTCTGATTAGTGGATAAAACACTCTACCTCCTGAGTCACAACCGCCCCTAAATCTAGAGGTTGGGCCCCTTCCAAAAACTCACCAGATAAATATAGGGGATTTGTATTCATTTTTTTTTTTACTTTTCTCTAGTTTTTGCTTATATTCGATATTTTCCTCTTTGGGACTCAGCAGTTATTTAAATGAAACCAGGTAAATGTTTCTTTGGTGGCACCTCTAAGTACTCTCAGATATCTTATAAATATAAATATAAATGCGACAGTGGGCCCCGGGAAATACTGTTTTTAATGTAAAATCTTAATCCATAAAGTAAGTAGTAACTACAGTTGTCAGATATACAGTGGTGTAAAAAGTACAATATTTGACTCAGATGTAGTGTAGTAAAAATTTGAATATCTAGGCTACAAGTACTTAAATACAGAACTTGAGTAAATGAACTTCCAATATTGGTTTTCACATGGCACTCAGGTAAAAAATATGAGGCGCTGGACTGTCTACTATAAATTTAGAACAAAAGCAGGAAATGGAAGAATCTTTGCAGGCTTGGGGGCGTCTCTCTTCCTGTGTGTACACACAGACACTCGCATGCAGGTGTGTGTACCTGCAGACCAGGCACTTAGGACTACTGATGATTTGGCGCTCTGAGCTCCCCCATTATAACACACACACACACACACACACACACACACACAACTCTAACCCCACAGCCACACACTCACCTCCAGCCTGGAGCCATATTTGAACAATCGATACCAGGGGTCCCGGAACCACAACCAGAGGAGAGATGAAGTGAGTGGAAGGAGACAGGAATCTTCTTCAGCTCGGCTTAGCACTGATGCATTCACTGTCCATTACCCTCAGTCATCACCTTGTGTTTGCCAAAAGGCAAGAATTTCCGTGACGCTGGTTGCCTGGACTGATGAATCCTCCAGTGCTGCAGGTGTGTGTCTATTTGATGTGGAACATAATCTCAGTGCTCTTTACCACAGCGGCAGCAAAGTATGCATATACTATACTACAGCACCAGAGGCTACAGACATGAGCCCCCCCCCCCACACACACACACATACACACACACAGAAATGATTATCTGCAACCTGTCCTCATCAGCAGTGGAGCATCAGTAATCAACGTGTCATGCCAGTTTGTGATTACTGCGCTCAACAGGGAGAACTAGTCTGTCTCTTGATCTTGATTGGCATCCTCACGTGGCTTGTTTATCTCGCTTAAGAAGCTTTGCACATGACCTGCCCGTGCCAGCTAATTAGACCAGGAGAAAGACGAGAGGTGGGCTGCTTGAAATGATGGGAGCCGTTTGCACGGAGTCATTTGAGCGTCCAGAGGCCAAGCACACGGCCCCACATCTCCACAGCAATAACATGCCTCGGAAAGCAGCGACTTTTAAACCTCCCAAATGTACAGGTGGCACGGGAGACACAATTTTCTCTATTGCCTTGTAGGAAAAACAAGCATATAACCTGTGACTGTGGCTCATCTCTAGCTCAGTACAGCACAATGATGCAGCTGGACAATCTGGCTAAAACGTATGATCTTGATATGTAAAACCTTGATGAGATGATTGATGCTGATATGAATCTGAACAATAATTTAGAGACTCCAGCGTTTGATAACACACCAGCAGAGACATTAATGAAAATCAAAATAATCAGATTATTGACACAACTAGGTCTTGTAATGACCACAACTGAAATAATCAAACAGAGTGTCAATAATCAGAATATAGAGCATATCAATGGAATTATGTTTAAAAAACCCCCAAAAAAACAAAAACTAATTTCCACAACATGAAGCACACTGACATATCACTGCTGAAATATCTTTAGAAACAAGAGTAAAGTGAGATCAGGCCAATTTCTTACATCTTCATATTCATATCATTATGATGAAGGACGGTTTCTGAGTCATTCATATTGTACTGCCAGTTCTGAGCTTATTAAATGTCTTCATTGTTGCAGTACCATGAAGGAAGGACGGGACGTACCCATCTCTTCAGAGTACTGTCACACTCCTGATGGACATTTTGAAAAATATGAAGCAGAACCTCAGATACGGCCTTTTTTTTTTTTTTATTCCTCACACTGCAGTTCAACCTCTTCCAAAGGACTGAGGCAAAAATGCAACGTCTCTGTAACAACTTGTTGCTCCTTCATGCAACTGGCCAAGAGGTGCACTCACGTACCACATGAGGGCAGCAGTGTGTATCTAAAACCACTACAGGTGCTTTTACTCAAGGGGGCATCAGATTAGTAAAAAGCTTGAATAAGGTGGAAACGTTCCTGCATCTAATCTCATTCAAGAACTCAGAGAAATCTGTCAGATGTTTTCAATCTACTAAACCAAACCACAAACCGAAATTATGTGGACAAATGCAAAATGATCATAATGCCTGGACACAGTGCATCATCTTTTTTTTTTTCTCTCTCTACTCAAATCTCGTCTATAAATTCTCCTCAACCTCATTTATTTAAAATGTCCTGCAGTTTAAAGATTTATTGTAAAACTGAGAGGATAAGGCCAGTCACTATTTAGATACAAAAATTATAGTTTATTTGGTCTAATGTGATAAAATATGGCATAGTGGGATTGTTGGCTCATTTCTTAATTACTGTCAACCCCATATTACCATCTGTTTCTTATTTTATACCAAAGAACTTCTCCTCGTGAATGATTGAATCATATTGTTTCAACTAATCCAAACAGCCACAATATGTCATACAGAAAGAAGTTTCTAGTCCTTTTATCCACAAAAACAATATAACTACGTCATGAACATATATGACTATAGGTTATCTTCAGTCTGTGCTTTACTAGACGCCAGTTAATATATTTGAAATCAACATATAAGATTAATATTGTCAGTGTCCACAAACAGACCAGTCCAGACCAGACCAGATCAGTGTTTTTTTTGTTTTTTTGTTTTGCTGTCCACCCCTCACACACACACACACACACGCACGCCACCCACCCTATATGACATTAGCCCTCCACTCTCCTCTGCTGCACTCACTCGCGCTCTCCATGCGGTTCACTTGGCAGAGGCGCAGCAGCGCGCCGCGCTCCTTCCCTCTCCTGGTGTGCACCGATCCTTGATTAACGCCAAGTGAGACGCATCTGCGGTACTTAGAGGCGGAGAAATAAAACCGAAAAAGTACTTAAACTACTATTTTTTTCTTTTTCGTTTCAGGGAAGCAATGACTTACCTCATTCTGCAGGCCAAGTGAGACGGACTATGGATGCAGAGTCCGGGTATTTCACCACTTCAGAGACTCAGACAAAAATTGACACCAAGTCAGAGATGAACTTTTAGTAGGCTAAGTGTAGACAACGTTAAATCAGAAACATGGATCTGTATGCGCAAAATGAGACCTCTACTTCCCCGGAGTGCGTCGGAGCGCAGACTGGCGTGCAGCACAGCGGAGCCGGTAACGGGAGTTTGGAGCCATCAAACATCACCTGCAACGCCGTCACACTCGTACCCCGGCGCACGAGGCAGAGAGGTGAGCGAACTCACACATAACTCAACATTTACCTCTATAAAATGTCGTATAGTGTATATTTCTACTTTTTAGTGTGAAGTTGTCATATAAATTGATTTAACTTACATCCTGTCAGAGATGAAAAGGAAGCAAAACTACAATACTGCAAGAAAGTTCACTGTGGCTTTCCTTTAAATAACCCAATTCAGCTGAAGGTTAGGCTGTCAGCGCAGGATCACAGATGTGTGAGGCTGGAAAGCCAGCAGATCTCCAATTTCAAAGGAGGGTAAACAGATTATTCATAATATTCACTTCCCTCAAATAACTGGCCCACATAAAAGGAAAAAGAAGAATCAGTGGAACTTTTTTTTTCTTTTTTTTTTTGCTTGAATTTAAAAAATGTCTTTGAAAGACATAGTTCACATAAAGTAATTTTCTAGTTGGAGTGATTTTGGTAAATCTCCGGGAGTAGGTTATGATGCTGATGTGCTTATTAGGTAAAGCTGAGTTATTTGGTTCTATGTTGTTTTATTTTAAGATATTAATCAATGGGGTTACAGTGAAATACAAGAGAGCACACACACGCACACACGCACGCGCACACACACACACACACACACAGAGAAAGAGAGAAACAGTAAGGAGTCAAATCCTGGCCACACAGGGGATTTATTCATAAAAAAAAAACAGTCAGATGGCTGCATATCTGGACTGTGCCTCATTTTCCTGTGTTCTGCTTTTTCAATACTTTCAAAACACTTTATCCAAAATCCAGGGTGTAAGGTTAGAGGGTGTCGTATGTTATACAGATCTTAAAACCCACTGACGCCAATTTGTGATTTTGAGTGATATAAATGAAACTGACTTGACTTGAGCTTGAGCTTGTGAACTAGAGAGAACATGGAAGTGCGTCATCACTCCTGCAATTTCATCGCAGTCCTCCCTCCACCTGCTACTTTCTCAATCAACACTTGCTATTTCTGTCCCTAACAATTGTTTTTCAGTGTTTCCATATGTCGATGAGGTGTGCATGTGCGTGCGTGCGCATGTGTGTGTGTGTGTGTGTGTGTGTGTGTTTGGGGTGAGGGAGGCTGGGCTACGTGTGTATAAAAGACACTGCAGGGATTGAGCATCTTCATTGAGCTGGTGAGAGCATCATAAGTGAGAGACAGGAGCTTCCCAACTGTTGACACACAGTATTATATTCTCAACGGTTTCAGTTAACTTCTGTCATTCCTACCTTTACCTGAAATCAGTAATTTCAAGCACTCAGGGATGGGTATGACTCATTATGCTGAGCTAAATCAGTATTTAGCAAATTACAAACCCACCAAAGACACATTTGACAGGTAGAGATGTCTGGCGAGAATTGCAGCAGCACGGTTAAGGGTGGAGCTTAATCCATTTCTATGCTGCACTATTTAGTTATTTCACACACGCGGTGTCACTCAAAGATTATCACTTCCTTCCAGTGTAGCTTTTCCCTCCCTTTTTTCTCTCTATTTTGCATTCCCACTGTAACGTCAAACAGGACTTTGCACCCGTCATATAAAGGGCAAAAATCAGGATGTGTGAGCCTTTGTATTGCTGCTGTCACCATCTTCACTCCGTCCCTCACTCCAGAAATCAATTACTTTTCCACCATGTCCACTCATTCTTCCCATCTATTCTTTCTGTCCATCACGCCGCTGCTGTGTTTGTGTAGGAGATTGAGTTGTGTCACATTCAAATTCCCACCTGCTCACACTAATATTTCACTATACCAGGGAGGTCTGAGCATTTTCCTGTGACTATATCACATTTCACATTTTTTGTTATTAATGATATAACATGTTTAAAGCTACCAAAACATATCTATGTAATGTAAGCTAGTGTTCATAGTTGCCACTGTGGCAGAAAACATGCACAGCTTTGTCTTCATCAAGCTGTAAAGGACATGTTTAATATCTATGATGTTGTCTGTGGCTCTGAAGGAGCTTTGTCAAGTTGGAGTGAATAACCCTTAAGATTTTACTAGGTTAGGGCTCTGATTACTTAATTAAAGTAAAGCCAGTATTAGAATGTGATGTAGGAGTTTGACAGACATTTACCAGACAGGTCTGGTCAACACACAACCTTTTTTAAAATCTGCCAGGGGCTAATGCATAAAAAGGAAGGAATGGGTGCATTATGCAAAATGCACCCAATGTGTCACTGATATCTCTCTAAAACATTTCAGCATTTAAATATGTCACAGCTGTGTGAGATTTTCAGAATGGATATTGGCATCGACCCCTGACACAGCCTCCAAACCAGAGCAAGCACACCTCAAAGCGAGGAAAAACCTTGTCCACCGATCAGGGGAAACATATCGCTCCATTGGGCGGCATCAAAATGTTGTCACATTGAATGCAGCCCAGGTGTTGTCTCTGTGATTTGGAACCAAAAGCTGCAGCCTCTAAGTGCTTCGTGGCACATGGTTTGACATCCCTGATGTAGACTTGATGTTAAAGTGTCTTTAGCAGATGCCTGTCACACCCTGTTTACTGCACAAGACATAGGTGAACAACAATAGAGTCAATAAAAATGTCAGGATTATCTAGGATTCTGGCTGGTTGTAGTGCAATTCATCGTAGGCTACAGCAGTGGGAGATTGTTACTTTGGAGATGATAATAACGGAAACAAAAGAGAGGTTATCAGTCACTTGCCAGGAACACCCTGTTCAATCCCGGAACACAAAGCAGTTTATTCCTTACACAACAAAGACCCGGCCCTGCTTTTCATTTCTCCCTTCTCTGCCACCACCGTGCTCCACCTCACTCCTGTTTGTATGTATTTCACTACCGCCATCACTCAAACACTCTCATCTCACTCTCCCTGTTTGTTGAGACCTTAGATGCCTGTGCTGTATGCCGTGCTGTTTTGTATTTTGACCGCCGTGACCACAGGCACTGCGGATTTCCTGCTGTAGTCCGTCAGTCAGCAGAGAGTGGTTTTCGTTAAGCGCCTCCATCAACTGTTCTGGGGTGCACTTGGCTTAGTGACAAGGTTCAGATGACATTTACCATGCTGGATTAGCCACTAGCTGTGACATTTACCAATACCTTGGTCTTACAGGAACAGAGCTGGCTTTGCACTGATAGGTGAAGCCACATGAAGGGCCAACTGGGATAGACAGTGACGCACACTGCATATGTATTAGCCAGAGAGGGGGAGTGTGATTCATAGTCAATATAATGTCTGATACACTGAGTGAAAAAAATGAATCCTTAAATATTCATGACTGGAATACGAACGTCATTATTAATTCATCCACTATTTCGTTGCATATGTAATAATAGCCTCTGCCACTGAAGTAAACTTTTAGCTTGAATCACTTCAGTGTTATTGTTAGCATCTGTTCATCAGCCTTTCACACCCAACACTGAAATTCCTGGTAAAGTAACAGTAATGAAGTGTTAGAACCAAGCGGCAACCTGACACGGAAATACCAATAACTGGACTTCTTCGAATGGCTGCTTGAGTCTGGCTCCAAAAGTGAGTCACTCCCCATAGACTCCCATATTAAAATGCCCAACTTTACAGCAGAGATAAACATGTTTACAGCCTGGTACCAAAAATCCAGTTCTAATTTCCTCCTTTATGAAAACTGTACGGGGGAGTGAATTTTATAACTCACTCGTTTAAATTTATTAAGGTTTAAAGTTCTGTATAATTGAGGGAGTGCCGCTTTGAGCGACAGGTCGGTTAGCGTATGACTGCCACAAGCCAGCATGCACTGAAGTCTCAGCTCGACACGCACCCCTCCTCCTTGCCCAATTTGTATTAGCTGGGATTTTGATTTTGATTCACTGACTCATTTGCACAGTTGAATTAAACTGTGTAAAATGTGTATTACATACAGTCGAGTCCAAAAATCTAAGACCCACACTTTCCCATCCACTTAAATGGAAAAGTGTGTGAACACAAGAGTGTCTGATATCAAAGACTGTATGTGTGTAATGTAACCAAATGCAGATACATTACTGAGATATGTGCAGGTAATGGACTCTAATAAGATATAAATGGCATATTAATTGCACCCGTGAATCTGTCAAGATTATCTCAGGTAATTGCAAAGGAGAAAACTCTGGAAATTCCAAAGTAATTTCTTCCCGCAACCTGCTCAGCTGCTCTCCGTGCCTCCGGTCTGTAAACAGAGAGCAGACTGTGTTCCAGAGCCAGTGGTCAGACATGGCTGATGGGCACTGCACACACACTCATGAAACAACAACCCACAACTCCAGTGCCACAGGCTTCCCTTCTGTCATTTGGCTCCCTAAACTGCAAATAACCCTAACCCTCTGAATAATTGATGGGGCTGAATGCTAACAAACCTTGCCAAATGGTCACTGTTGATTTCTGTAATGACTTAATCTTAACTATGAAGGTGTAGCTCCAGTGTTTAATTAAACTTGCACTGAGCCTCTAGCTTCACTGCAGTGTGGTACAGAGATGTGAGCTGGCAGAAAGAGCAGTGATGGTGCAGGAGGCAAGGGAAAAAGCAAAGGGACTGAAAAGGAAGGGATGTAAATTAGTTTGTGAGTTGCCGCTCTGCCAGGTGCTCAGCTATTGATAATCATGAACCTCATCAGAGTTTAAAGGAATAGTTCGACCAACTTTCTTTCATCCTGTTACAAACAAGGAAATATGTTTCCAAATTAGTATTTTGTATTTGACTGGCATATTTCACCAATTCTGTGAGCATACAAAACAAATGTTAAATTCTTAATTAATTATGTTCAAGATATTTAATATTATTATATTAAGGAGATTAAGGAGATTCATAATATTCAGGAGGACTGAATCTTTATATGTAATCATATTTACATGTAATAAAAAAATACACAGCTCTATGTCACTCAGTAGTTTATCAGACCCTGAATAATATAACTATACTACAGGGACTTAGACAGTGTCTGATTAAAATAATCACACAGTAGCTTATGGGAAATCATAAGCTTATAAAAAGCTGATTTCTCTGTCATTAGCTTTGTAGTTATACCTCATGACTTTCTCCAACTTACTGTATCATATCATGTAGAAACAGATGCCCTGTTTTAGCTACCCAACAGTGAGTAATTTTAATAAGTCTGTATATCTGTGGGTGGAATATTCATTATACAGAACCAAACTGCAGCCAGTGACAGTTAGCAGCTACTGTAGCTGATGAGCAAAGTGGAGCATTAAGGAGCTGAAGAGCCAGATATTTTCATTAGGAGGTGGTGGAGACCAAAAACAAAGTTAAAAGAGAGTGAATATTGGATTTAAATGTTGCTCCATAACTGCTGGATAAGTGAATATGCAACTGTTTGTTAACATGTTCACCTTATCAACTTAAAAGGTGATGACATGTCAATGTCAATATTGTTTTCACAACAAGTTTTAAAAAAAAAAGAAAAGAAAAACAAATGCAGGTTTACTCCCTTACGGTCACAAACACTAATAAAGCCTGAAGAGAAGCTGCACACCTGTCCGAGTGTATCATACCAGCTGTACAGCTCTGTCAAGAAGCAAACATTCTGGTCAACCCCAGGCTGGAAGCCAACAATCATAATTTCATGATTTAAACTGTCTTGATGAACATTGTAGTTTTATGCAATGGTCTGAATAAGTCAAGTGAGGCTGTGGAACAGAAGAGAGCACTCTCTGTATATAGTATAAATATTAATCTGTCCCACATATTGGCCACATGAGTGCAGGTAAAGCGCTGGTGAGGTGAGGTGATTAATATAAATGCGTCTGCCCTACACACATGATCATTAGCAGCTATTGGAAGTTCCTGCCTGAAAGAAAGAATGAATGTGCTGAGGGAGTTATCAGCGTTTCCCACACAGCCAGAGAGCACGCACGAAGGCTAACTGGCTCCAATTAGGCAGAAGCTAACATATTTCATTTGGCGGGAGAGAGAGAGAGAGAGAGAGAGACAGTAATAAAGGAGTGAGAGAGCGCTGGTTCTTCTCTCTTACCAATCATCTGTCTGCACATTTACATTACACTTGTGCAGATGCATGTGCACCCTCATGCGCACAGAAGCACAAAATTAAACATTTTAGTCGTTGACATTTGCAAGCCTGTTCTCGTGAAGACACTCCGATGCTCTGCCAGTAGAACAGTACCCACCACATTAGAGGTTACTGCTTTTTATTTGCATGGGAGTGTGTGAGACAGATGGTGAAGCCACATGCCATTGGATGCGAAGACTGTATGTGCATGAGTGTCTATGTGGAGAGAGAGAGGGAGAGAGAGACAGAGTGACTTACTGACTTTTGCTGACCATGCTGAGCCTGAATCACTAAGCCTGCAAGTGATACAAAAACATTTCCGAGTGGCTGGGTGGAGGCCAGAGCATTAAATCAGTTGAGTGACAAGCCGTCACCCTGCTTTCATGTATGAACCACGAGTGTCCACGTGGTTTTGCAGAAGCTAAATCCTCCGTTTGATGTTCCTCTTTCACTTCGTGTCAGCTCTTATGCAGCAGACCTTTCCTGCTCGACCCGCCTTTTGATAAACACACAGATGAGTGTTGTTCAGATAATGTGCCCCAGCCAGTTGTGCACAATTCACATATTTACGTCTGAGGCGGATTGCTGTAAATGAGTATGAGTCAGATTCAGGATTACAATGAACAGATATGACGCAGGCCAGAGGAAATATGGCTGATATACATTTTATTTTGTTCTTAATGCCATTTGTGATGCTGAGGGTCAATGATTTGTGATCCTTAAAGAATAACCCTCAAGGTATTGATAGAGAAAACATTAATCAATGATCGTGAAATTACCAACTGATTCTTAAAAAAAAACAACTGTTACTTATTGTTAGCACAATCTAAAAAGCTGTTTTTTCCTGACATGATGAAAAATGGCATCACATATGAGTCATGTAGCTGTGTGGCTGGCATTGCTGCTTTGTTCCTGTGTTTTTTTTAAGGCTTTGTGCTCTTAGTTGGAAGTGGAAGGAGAGGAAATTGACAGAGAAATAAAGCTAAAGATGGCAAACTGCCGAAAATGGAAAAGGGTAAAGATCAAGACAAGATGCCTGAAAGATGAAATATGCCATGAAAATAGTACGTCATTTACCATCGCCTCTGTGGAAGTGATAGTGATATATTTTCATGGTATTAAGGCTTGAGTGTGTTTGGTTGTACATGCACCTACAACTGTGTCAATGAAGTTTGGTCTTATGTTTGAGTGATGTGATTTCTGTGCTGTGGATGTGGTGCACATGGGTGCCTCTAATCCCCAGGATACAGGCGCAGGTAACCCAATAAAAAGTGTTATGTCTAAGCAGGGGGTTAGGTGACGATAACAGAGGAAGCAGATAACATGGACTTTATAGGATATGATCCAGTGAAGCTGCTAATGGCTGATGGCACCGACAGGCTTTGGGCTGCATGCTACAGTATTTTGTACTTTACAGTATTCTGTATTTGCGGGTGGAAAATGTTAATGTTGGTACTTAAATTTGACTTACAACAAAGGAACTGGTAATGGCACTTAAAGATTGAGAACATAAAGCTAATTAATACTAATTGGCTATGGTGGGCTGCCTTTGTACCAGCTAAAAGCTATTAGCTACTGATCTGAATGTTTATCACATGTAGATGAAATGTTTTTCAGTGTTTCTGAGATCATGCAGCCTCAGATTAAAACACAAAATAACCAAATGCACATAAGGATAAGGATAATTAAAGTAAAAAAAAAAATGTATAAAAAATCATTTTAACTTGGGTATAATGTCATTGTTATACCTTAAAATATTAACTCTTGCTTCCATCCAATATTGAATTCCCAGTGGCTCTAGTTACAATCATATTTTTAACTAGCTGTTGTTCTCAAATGTGTTCATTTATTTTGTAACAATGATCTAATATGGTATCACTACGCAGTACATTAATGTGTGTAGCCTACTTCTATTATTATAGGCATGTTAATATCTGGTATCCCTGGCTCTTTTATTTCAGTCTCTGCATCCTATTGATAAATTACCCAAATAAAGGGGAAAAGATTTGTTGGCCATTTGGATTCAGCTGACACAGGGAATAGTGAATTACTTTGGGTATTGGACTTTAATATCAATGAGCATCATAAGCATTGAACTCACAACCTCAAAACTTCCAAGCAAATCCTCAAACATCATGTGCTACATGGTCAGACATCTACTTTGGGTGCTGAAAATTCACTGCCACCCCTAAGGATCAAACCCAAGACCTCAAACCTCCAGAGTGGCCATCTTACTCCCTGAGCTATTTGAGCATGAGCTGTATTTCTTAGGGACTTTGACTTTTTCCTTTGGACTTCAAAATGTAATGCGCCACACGGGGATCAAACCCAAATCCTTTTACTACCTGAGCTATCCCAGCAGCAGCACTCTGTTTCTCATTGGCTCTAAGGTTCTGAGTTGAATCTTCAGGTAACTTTCTTATTTTGCTGCCTGACTTCCAAAGGATGGACACAAAATGTCTAAGAAAAACCAGTCAAACGTCCCTTACCAACTGGTTCAGGGGGTCAGAGGACTGTTGAGAACCTTTTTTGGTCAAAGGTTCCATCATTGTTCTCCCTAAATTTTGAAGACCCATATCCAAAGGAAAGAGTCATAAGCTCCAAGAAATGATGCTGACATGTGTCTAGTGCCAAGTTTTGAAATCTTGGGTTCAATCCACACGTTGCATTGAGTTTGAAGTTGAACACTTAAATTAACCCCCAAAGCCTTTTTTTTTTTTTTTTTACAACTAGCTCAGGGGGCGATAAGAGTGCTTTGAAGTTTTGAAGTTGTGGGTTCAATCTGTGGTGAAACTTGAAGTCAAACGTCCGGATGAAAGATTTAAGTTTCAATCCTTATGAAGCTCAGTGAAGTGAAGTCCAGCTCCAAAGTGAAGACTGAAAAGAACTCAGAGAGAAGCAGTAGTACAGCAATCCTGTCCTTTCTTGATACCAGGAGCGTCAAAACCAGTCTCCTGCTGGTAAGGTAGGAGTGTGTGTGTGTGTGTGTGTGTGTGTGTGTGTGTGTGTGTGTGTGTGTGTGTGTGTGTGTGTGTGTGTGTGTTGAAGTGATTTTGTTATTTTTTAGGAACTTCAGTGTTAAAGCCTCAACGTTAATTTTCTGGGGTTATGTTGATCTTTGTACCATTATGTGCCTGCAGAGTCAGATTAAACTGCTAGTGAACTGACATGGCCATGTCTTGGACAAGGGCAGTTGCTGTAATGTCTTTATTGTGGCTGTGATGTGTGGTCTTTCACAAGCAGTAACTAACATCACAGGTTATGGTAATTAAAGTGTAGCATTGCATAATTTTCAGGAAAAGCACTGGGCCACTGCAGAGCAGGCCACAGAGCAGCAGAAACAATGCAATATTGCTTTTCCCAATCCAGCTGTAGTGTGTCGCAGTGCAATCACAAACCCCTCCCTTTGCAGGCAGAAATAACACAGTAATAACAGTGTGTTTGCTTTTTAAGATTACTCTTAATACAAGTGCATGTACAATTAGCGTACTAAACTAACCACACACACACATACAAAGAGACAGTTATGAGAAATAGTTGTTGGCTCCAGGCTGTTTGGATCAATAAAGACCAAACGATTTTACTGATCATCATGTAAAACAGACGTGATCAACTGCTTCAGTAAGACAAAGATATTCACACTCTAACATCCCTTCTTCTCCTGTCTTTTTCTGCACCAGATGAGGACCACACGCTGCAGATCCTGCTCTACTCGCTCATCTTCTTCCTGAGCGTATTCGGCAACCTGCTGATCATTGTGGTGCTGACTGTCAACAAGCGCATGCGCACCGTGACCAACACCTTCCTGCTGTCGCTCGCCATCAGTGACCTGATGATGGCCGTCTTCTGCATGCCTTTCAACCTCATCCCCAACATCCTCAAGGACTTCATCTTTGGAGCAGCCATGTGCAAGATCGTGTCCTACCTCATGGGTGAGAGAAGGAGGAGTGGTGAGGGATAAGGGGAGGAGTTAGAGGAGGTGAAGGATGAAGGTTGATGAGAGATGAGAAGGGAAGAAAAGAGGAGAAAATTTGGGGGTGAAAACAGTGGCTAAAGATTAAGGGTTTGGGTCTGTCTTTATATTTCCCAACAGACCTCTGAAATAGCTTCCTTGTTTGCTTATTCATGATTGCCTCTATAGAAGGAAATGCACTCAACAGTGTACTCTAACAAGTAGTAAATTGAGATTTCAGACTTTTTTCATTGAAAGTTTTGTAGGCATTGAATATTGCATAAACTTCATCCTCAGAAAATGACAGAGGATGAATGCAGGGCATGTAGTAAAGAAGAAGTGATGTTGCCTCAAATGAAGGATGCACTTTATAGGCAGCAAAGTTCACACCTTTAAGTCAAATACCTTATTCAGAGCAATTCAGTTAAAATATACAAAATAACTGATCATAAGAAATAACTTGTTACCCCACAGTGTTTCTTTCATATTAATGGTTAGTATCTGTTTTTAAATTTGAAGAATTGCAGTGAACATTCAGTCATTCAAATCAGGTTAAAATTGCCTCTTCAAAAACTATGTTAGCTTTAATTAAAGCTTCACAGGTGCATGTCAGTATATGAATAACATTATTTATGCTGCAGGTAATGGAGTGATTCACAGACACTTTCAGCTGTCTTAAAAAAAGTGAACAGCGTCTTTTAGAGAAACCAGTGATATGCATCGTAGGCCACAAGTGTTATTTGGTTAAACCAACCAATTTCTGAGGTTGGTGTCCTTTAAATTACGTGTAAGCTGTTTGAAGAGAGTGAACACATCAGTTTCAGTATAATCTTTATATAACAGGATTGAGGTGCACATGTGGAGAGGGCCGATATTAAACCATTTTTTGATAGAGCACAGCTATATATATATATCCTCTGTAAAATGTGAATGATAATCTTTTTCCTGAGACCTTTGCTTCATAGTGGAAGCAGTTTCAGTGCAGTTCGATATGAAATGCCATTCGTATCCGATCTAACTGAATTTGTCGCAGCGCCGTCATATTTCATATTCCTTTGGGGTGAGCGCTTGCAGATTGGAGGTCAGTCACCTTTTGATGGAGGTTAGAAGTACGTCTGGCAGTCAATGGTAGAGACATGTTTGGAATAATTTTCAGAAAAAAAAAATCTAATTTCTAGATTATGGTGAGAAAGAGTAAACCCTGCTTAAATGCCTTGGAACTTTAGGGAATTCATTTGACTCTATGAATAGTTACAGACAGCGAAGTATGGGAAAAAAAAGATAAATATTACTTCTATCTTTCATAACAGTGACTTAGCATCTCATAATTACAGGAATGTATCATTACTTCTTGTTATCCTATCATGTTATACTGTATTATTAGCCCCAGAGCCTAACAAGAAGTCAGGCATGTAACTGGTAAAGTGACATATACTGTCTTGAACTATAGAGTCACATTTATAACACTGTAAACTGAACATCTTTGGGGTTTTGACTGTTACTACAAAAGCTATTTGGTAGTAACAGTATAGAATAGTTTACTCTCATTTAGAAGTGTAAACTATTTTTTTTTTCCCAATGATTTCCATGCACAGCACTTCATTTTGTTTACTTTGTAATCTGAGTCACTGCCTACATCTGATTTTTTTTTTCTGTTAAATAGAAACAAATGGAAATTCAGTTTGATTATCTGACTAATCCCTTATTGCTTTTAGAAGCCACTGACTTGCATCCAATAGAAAATGAAGGGAATGGGCTACTGGGACTTTGCAGCTCATTACTGTTGGCTACTACTAAAATTAAATTCCATTCATCCCATGCATTGATTTATTACACTTGTTAACCTGCGCTGCAACAACCATGGAAACAAGCAGCAATCAGGAAGTTAACAAGTTCTCTGACCACCACTTTACAAAAAGTATAGATTAACATTAATCAGCTTTACAACCACAGACCATCATCATTATCTTTCCCATTTGTGGGAGGTTTAATGGCGCAGATTCTCAGTGTTTTTGCCTTCAATATTCACTTGACTAAGTGATCATTTTCCTAGTTCACATCAAAGTGATAATTGTGCTTCTAGCTGAGTTCTCTTCTTTGGTCGTATGTCTAAATCAAGAAGCGGCTCATCATCAGTGTTTACAGTGTCTGTCAACCAAAGATGTTAAGCTAAGCTAACCTGCTGCTGGCTGTAGCTTTACTGTACAGACTCACGGCAAAAAAGTAAATAAGAATATTTCCTTAAATGTTGAATTATCCCTTCAATTAGAATATAGGACTATAACATGAAAATACTTTGTACCCAGTTTCAGAATCTTATATCATAATACATATGATATCAGGTCAGTATTGGTTGATGCAATAACTGGATGGATGGAACTAATACGACTTTACTGTTGTGTTAAATTTACAACAGTGTGTCATATTTTATAAGTTGATAGGTTTTGTATGTAAAAATATTACATACAATGTAAATTGTAATAGAGCTGTCAGGAAAATGTAAATACCATAACACAGTACTTGAGTTGATGTAGGCTACTCAGTTACTCTCCACCACTGCTTTGCAATAATTATAGTTAAGTTATTATAATTAGGTTAGGAGAAGAAAAACCTATAGAAGAATACAGTAATCAATAAAAGAAATAAAAAAACAAGATCCTTGGAAGAAATACAGTATAATGTAGAGGTAATACTTTCGTGCTCTCCTGCAACCATCTACTGACTCATCTATAACGACAAATAAAAGTCAACATCAAAATGGAAAAGTGAATAAAAAAGAGAATCATTGAAGTAAGAGATGGAGAAAATAACAACAAAATCATCAATGTTGAGTAAATAAGAAATTTAGAAACAAATAAAATGAACAACAGGAACACTGTGTTGCCGCTGAAAGAAAAGCCGACTGAGATTTGAAAAGAAAAGTTGATTAAGCAAAGCACAGAGCTTGTGAATGAAGGAGAGCCATCAGCATGATGCACTGAGTGAAGGTAAACAAACCCCAGGGAGAGTGTTGGCTGATTGGTGCTTCAGTGGGGTCTGCTCTTAAGCTTCCCTCAGACAACATAGTGCACCACTGGATCCTGACTCTCTCTTTCTCTCTCACACACACACGCGCATACATATGCACACAAAGGCACACATACACAGTATGTATCCTTGCTGAGGTAAAGAGTAATTTCCCGTCTTGTCCTGTCAGGAGGGAGACGGCAGATCACATCAATGGCCTAGGCCAACATGATTTCCTCTACCACAAGACTCTGATAACCATCCCCACCTCCATGCCTCGCATTATATTCATTTGGAAGCACGTCTCCAAACATCACAACATTTTTTTTCTCAGTTATGATTGCAGATATTAACACACAACACACACATCAACAAACACATTATTGTTACTTTTCATTATGAATCCAAACTCTGAACGATAATAACTTTTCATTCATCAAAATAAAAGATATGTTACAGATAGTCGTACGTTTATTTACTTTCTGAATAATCCGTTTTGTTTTCCTTCAGGCATATCAGTGAGCATCTCCACGTTTAGCTTGGTTGCCATAGCGATTGAGCGCTACAGCGCCATCTGTAATCCCTTGAAGTCACGGGTATGGCAAACACGTTCCCATGCCTATCGGGTGATTGCGGCTACGTGGGTGCTGGCCTTCATCATCATGATCCCATATCCAATCATCAGTCACCTGGAGTCTTTTCAGCGCCGTGACAACACCACAGGGCACCAGTGTCGACACAAGTGGCCCCTTGCAATGGCAGAGCAGACCTGGTGAGTGTCTGGGTTTCACATGGTGTGTCTGTTACTTTTCTGTTTCTTTTATCACAGATTTACTATCTACAACAATAAAACGAAAACTGCTCAGTTTGTTATTATAATAAGTAGTTTAATAATAAAGCACTGCATGTTTCACAGGATCCTCATATGTTTTTTATGCAGAATCTTAATCTGGTAAATTGTCATTCAAATTGTCAAATGAAAAATACTTAAGTAAAGTTCAAGTAAGTTAAAATTGTACTTAAGTACAGTTCTTGGGTAAATGTGCTTAGCTAAAGAAAACTCTCTGAAGCCTAAACAATTAGATCTGGTTTTAATTTATGCTTTGATTGAGGCACGGTGAGATTAACAGACGATATATACAGTATCTTAAGTATGTATACACTGCACAGAATATTAGAAAGTTTGGGGATATACAGAAATACTGTGAGTCTGATATGTTAGAGATGGAATCATTAGCCACTGATCCCCTGGAAGTAAATAGAAAGCTGCGTGAATACAAGTCTTCCTCCTGGATTAAGGTACACTGCTAGTGGCACTGAAGGATATGTTCACGCTCACCAGGCTGACCTTTGATGAGGAAAATTGTATTGACCGAGCACAAAACATTTTTTTGTTCCAACAGCCAAATTCATTAAAAAACACAAAATCAATAAAACAAACAGAGGTTAGTGGGAACATCCAAACCACACACGTGTCCATACATCACAATATCTTCTCCTAAGGCTGTGATTGGATCTACTTCCTGTTTCATTGACAACTCTCCTGATGAGAAAAATGTGTCCTGCTCTAACAGGCGAATTAGTTCAATTTAGGAAAGGAATTGTCATTTAAAAGATGAATTTCTTATAATGGGGATGATAACAAAACATTTTGGTAGTGTTGTAACTTTAACTGGAGAGATACAGTGGCTGCTTTTCTTTCCTTGCTGAGCTTCATCAATTGGATCTCCAGGGTATTGCAGCCCACAACAGCATAGAAAATGCAGCTTATCATAAAACTTGCAGTCAAGTCATGAATCTTTTTTACTCTCCCACAGCTTCTAGTGTGGACAATCTGCTGTTTTGTATCAAATAAACTTCAGATGAACTGTGTCTTAGAGTGTGTGTGTGTGTGTGTGTGTGTCTGTGCATTTGTCAACAAGGCACTCTACACTGAAACATCTAATTTACTTCCATGTTTGGATCTGGAGCCTGTTTCAAGCAGCTCTCACTTTCTGTGTATTGGCTGTTTTCATGGAAATGTTGGGGCAGATGAAGACAGCAGACGGATGTTTCTGTGTTTTTGTTTGGACTTAGGCTGGAACAGGCTCTGGGGTAATTTCAGACAACCCTGCATATATCTGTGTGTATTTGCGCACAGTTGAAAATTGTCTGTTGTGTGTGTGTGTTTGTGTGTTTGTGTGTGTGTGTGTGTGTGTGTGTGTGTGTGTGTGTGTGTGTGTGTGTGTGTGTGTGTGTGTGTGTGTGTGTGTGTATTTGTGTATTTTAGTGCCCTTGTGTTTGATTCTATGACTTCAGGTTTGATTATGGATGTATAAATCTACACATGGGCACTAGACCCAGATTGTGTCTGTAGTGTATTACTATTACATTTGAGTCACAGAGCTGAGCATCATTTTAGCAACACAAAGGGTCATTTTTCAACATTTACAGCTGTTATTTGCAGTACAGGAAGTTCACTGCCAACATGGATTAAAAAAAAATCTTTGTCAGCTGCATGATAAAAATCATTGTGTGTTAATTTGTATAAAATATTAAATAATAGCTACACTAGTACAGGTGAATCTTTGTTCAGGTTGTATAAACTGAGCAAGGACATATGTCAGGCTACCATTTTCATTTTGGATTAGCAGGGAACTGCAACTTGGGAAACAGGTTTTTTATTTATTTACTTATGAAGCAATGAATTGGATTTTTTTTTTCATTTAGATAATTATAGTCTTGGAGCATTCTGGAAATGCCTTTACCGGTAGTAAGTTTTGGTTGAAGGACATTTTAATCATTCTAGGTTTTTCAAAGATTGCTGGATATCTGTTTTTCTGAATAAAACAAGAATCTGATCTGTGCCTTGAATGAACAGGCAATGGTAATACATTACACATGAGATATAGAGTCTGAGGATACCTGAGTGTGAACATGCACCATTTTCCTTCTGCATCAATGCTGAGATTTTTTACCTCTTTTCTCTTTTAGGTACATTCTGCTTCTGCTTGTTCTCTTCGCAATCCCAGGAGTGGTGATGATTGTGGCTTATGGGCTGATCTCCAGGGAACTTTATAGAGGCATCCAGTTTGAGATGGGCCACAAAAAAGACTCAGCTGGTGAGACTGTGTGCACGATATGTGGAAATGATTAAGAAAACAGTTATCCCACAGGGCAGTTTGGCCAACAGCCAGTGAAGAATACAAAAATAGAAGACTGAAGAGGAATTTCATTTTAATCACAAGAATTTCATTAGCGCCACAATCACTGTAATGAGTTCAGGTTACGTGAAACATAACCTTTTGTGGGCATGGGATGACAGCGGCATGGAGTGTGTTTGCTGGTGCTCCATTAGAGGATGGAATTGGCTGGCAGCTGTTGGCCTGGACATCACCATCTGTTTGGTCTCAGAGAGAAAGAGGTTGCATAAAAAAGGGCTTGAGAGACAAGAGCATGGGGTAAAAAACAAACAGAAAAATTAGGAGGGAAATGATGCAGAATTTCCTTAGAGATTTTACAATAACCTGTGTTTTATTTAATAATCCAGGAATGGTTTAGCGAATTGTGTATGAACTCTCTACAGGATCAGTTTCTGTTTCTATTTTCTTGCTTTAGGGCTCTTTTTACTAAGGAGAGCAGGATAACTAAATATTATCAAAAAACTGCAATATCCGCTGATGGGTGATTACTGTGGGTCAGCAGGAATTGGTTACCACTTTTCTGCCTATTAAGAGGAGCTGCAGTGTGATGCACTCAAAATAAACCTCACAAATGTATCATCACAGAGCTGTGGTGCTACTCCACTAGAAGGGAATTTCTTTAAGATAAAAGTCAGGCAGGCATGGAAGTTGTTGCATAGTCACATGCTCCACACACAGTACCATCCACTAGTATATGCCCGTGTCGTATCTCTAACAAATGGTGGTTCGCATAAACATTGAGCACTAACTCTATCTGCATATCTCAAATACAGAGCTCCAAATCCTCAACTGCCTGCTTTAAGCGATTTAGCATTCAGTTATATGCAAATGTTTCTTTAAATATACGTTCACGCTCATCGCGCTTGTTTTTCAGGCTCTGTCGGAGGGTTTGTTACCTCAGGGACAATGTGGTCAAATTATGGCCAAATTAAAATATATGCCATTGGTGCAATTAGTGGTTAAAAACCCAGTGTGAAGGAAGAAATTGCTTTAAAGGTTTGGTTTATACTGAAGTCTAGCCACACAGATACCGTTGGCTTGATTGCTATTTTTTAAGATCTCACCAATGGCATGCGTGCAGCAGCTCATAATGGGTAGGCTGCAGTAGAAAACAAACATACCTTTGTCAAGTCCACAGCTATGGAAGGCTATTATTGTCATCCAAGGAGGAAAAACTACAACATACTAATGTAATAATGTAACAAATAGATGAAGGCTCTTGACACAAAAACTTCATTTTTTTGCCTTTGACAAAAATACTCCCCTTTTCCCCACAGTCTTGTTTGCTTCCACTCTGCCTCTATTTAAGTGCCAGTAGGAACCAGGTAGTATTTTATTTGTACATTACATATTTTTCTGATATTTTCTTGTGTTTTGTGTATCCAATCTTATTATACAAACTTAAGTATTAATGATACTCTCTGTGTCCCCACTGATCCTGCAGCCCAAAGTGTATGACCATGCAGAGCAAAGGCGCTGATAAATGTGTGTAAATACATCCGTGTTTGCAAACTCCCAATCTAGTGTAAAAAGAATCATGTGTGCCTGGGATGGGCCAGATCTGATACCAAGTAATACCGAGGCCAAAATCACTGATATATGACATATACGATACCAGTACAGATCCCTGCTTTTTATTAATAAAGCCGCTGATGTACTATCAACTCGGCAAGGGCCATGTGAATGTATCATTAATTTGCCTCCCAGTGATTAACATGAAGTATTTCTTTTTATTATTCTCTGTTAGATACTTAATCACATGCATATCAAAATACAAGACTTGTTTTACTGGTAAATTAGAAATATTTATCATGTGAATTCCCTGAACTAATGAGGCGACTGCTGCTCACATGCACACAACAGAAGCAGAGGAGCAGAGTGCAGACACTAAGATGTGCATGTTCATTTGCCCACAAAGTAACTGAGATTCAGTTAGTTTTTGTTGATATCGATACTTCAGGTACTGATCAGGCCACCCCTACAGTAGCATGAATGGAGTCCATCTGGCCCTCAACAACATCAGCGAAGTACAATAAAAGCAAGAAGATTCACAAAACGGAGACATTACTCATGTATTAGTGTTTTTTAACATTTCATTCACAGATACCCTCCTCTTTCAATCTGCTCTCCCATACAGATGTGAAGAACGGCCTGACCTCCACTGTGTCTACTGGCAGTGATGATGGAGATGGTTGCTACGTTAATGTCGTCCAGAGGCCGCACTCGATGGAGATGTCCACTATGGCTGCATCAGGCAGGTCTATCAAGGCCGAGCGGCCACGCAGCAACACATCTGAGGCCAAACTGGAGGCCAAGAAGCGAGTCATTCGCATGCTGGTGGTCATTGTTGTCCTGTTCTTCCTCTGCTGGATGCCGGTGTACTGTGCCAACACCTGGCGGGCTTTTGACGACAGGTCCGCCAAAAATGCCCTGTCAGGGGCCCCCATCGCTTTCATCCATTTGTTGTGCTACACCTCTGCCTGCGTCAACCCGATTATTTACTGCTTCATGAACACACGTTTCCGTAAAGCTCTGCTCACCACGTTCTCATGCTGTGCTGCGCCTTGCCATCGCCGTCGTCGTGGCGGGCTACGGGACAACGAGGAGGATGTTATGGCAACGGGAGCGTCCATGTCCAAGTTCAGTTACACTACAGTCAGCACCATGGGAACCTGCTGAGCCAGATGGATGCAGGCACCAGGAAAGACAGTTACTACGGCAACACAGCACCCCACATCCTTGTCTTTAGGCCAACTCTGCACTCATAGTGACTGTGACGTGGAGTGGAAAAACAGGCCATATAATGTAGCAGTATAAAAGCTTCATGTATGACTGTGACTAAACTTATGTAGGTAATATTTAATGAAACCAAGTCTTACAGTGTAAATACTAGCATAGCTATACTGAAAAAAGCACAAAAAACATAGTAGACAGTTATCTGTTGTCACAGTGGACCAATGCCTTTATGGCAGGGCGTGCGCGTGTGTGTATTACTAGTGCGGAGGATATGAGTAGTGGTGAGCTGTATGATATGTGAGGGAGGCAATCTTGATAACTTAGTAGTCATTATGTAGCTGTAAAAATAGTGTTTTATATTTTGCTCTCAGTTCTAATGTTTATCAGTGTTAATGATGATAACGCAATTGCCTTGTGGACTAAGTGCCTGCTACTAAATATTGTGTACTGTGTTTGTCTGCTGTTGATTTTTCCGTCATTCAGTATGAGGGCAACATAATTGCAGGCAAGTTGTAACCTGAAGGGGTTGGAAGTAACGTTTAAAGACTCAAAAGATCTTCTAAACGAACTCAACATCTTCTTTAGAACTTAGGAATTTCCTCCAGATGGGAGTTGATAAGATTAATAAATTGTCTGTTCTACTTGGCTACATGGTTTACAGAAAAAAAAAAAAAACTTCAGAGGCATAAACTGTTTACAGTACATGGGCGATGTTGATGCCTTGTGTTGTGGTTGTCAACTGTAATGCTAGTCACCTTTGTGTTGTTTAGTTTGTAGAGATGGATTTTTCTTTGTATCCTCCAGGGTTTATTTGTACGATGTTCTTGCAGCTGAACACAGTAACAAATATGACAAGGGAGACTTGACACCTTGAACTGACTTGGCACTTTCTTTCTCATTTGAGGGTCTCCTTTTTTGAGGGCAGTAAATTGGCACAACTGGAAACAAATCTGAGCTATTTTAAGAGACCTTACAAACAATCGTATTTTGGAATATCAATTTAATACTTTGATAAATTTCATGGTACAGTATCAGAAGATTGTAGCTTAGAGCTGTACGACAACCCACCACAGCTCCCCTCTTTGTCTCTGTGTCACATCTGTGGACCCTTTCTTTTTCCTTTTTTTTTTTTTTTTTTTTGCAGCTTATGAAAAGTGTGACTTACTACTCTAAAACTAGAGGCCTTAAGGGGAAAAGCTTATTTGTGACACTACGTTCAAGTTCAGTGATTAACCTTATTTGTGTATGGTTGGATGAGTAACTCGTAATCTGGTGCATTTCAGTGACTTGTCTTTGTGTTGTGTGTGTAGTGCTTGGTGAAGACAAAAACTTAATTATAATTATAATGTACCAAGCAAGTCTTTTGACTCACAATGACATAATTTAAAACAAAAATTTAAAAGAAGGAGTCACGCGCATATGTTAATTCTGTTGTACAGTAGCTTACACAGACAGTAAATGTTGCTAATATATTGTTACTATATATGTACTGTCTGACAACATCGAAGAGTAATTTTCATGAACAATAAGTTCAGGGCAGCCTTACGGTATGTTTTAAAAGAGGTTACAAGAGGATCAAGTACCTACAGCATTTACGAATAAGCTCAGTGAGTTGCTGTCCCCGTGTAGCTCACCTGCAGGCTACAGAATGGCAGCCAGGTTTCAGAGGTCGCTGTTTGTCAGGCCTGACTCTGGCTCCCCCGCTCACCTCACAGTAATTGTGTTACGACCTCAAACCTGCCTGGCTGAGAGGATATTTCACTGAGTGCACCAAAGCACAACGCTGTCAGTCTCACAAAAATAGATGAATGACCCGCACTTGTGAGCATGTTTTGGATGATTCTACATCAGCCCGCAGCTTTTGCAGTTTATTGTGTACACTGTTCCCTTTGTGTATAAAATATAAATCATACTGATACCTTACTGCTTTAGGCGATACAACAGCAAGGCAGAGAATTTTATTGGCTGAAACCTCAGTCTGTGTTTTAGAAAATCTGACAATCTTGGTGACATGGCTAGACTAGGACAATAAAATCGTACACTTATGTGCTAATCAATTAGTTTCTGCTACCGCTGCTACAGTCACAGAACTTTACCTCCACACATGTCGACTGTAGAGAGGAGGACAAAACCCCATCATCTTTAAAACACAAGATACAGGCCTTTGTATGAATGGCTTTGTCCTTAAATATGCACATACAGTAAAACCAAAGTGAGATCATGGTAGATAGACTGTGCTTTTCAAATCAGAATGCCTGTCTGATCTCTCAGTCCCAGTGTTAAATTGTGGAAAAGCAGATGTTTTCTTCCTGCTGTAAATAGAGAGGAGGTGTTTCAGTCTACAAGTAGTGTTTCCCAGAAAGAGGAATACTATCCGTCTGTGTTGATGTTTATGAGTGACACTTAGAAAGTGTTTCTTCTCCGGAAAGCTGTGAGAGGCTGATTTCCCTGTGGTGTCACCGAGGCCATTTGATGTTATGACTTGCCCCCCCACCCAACCTCATCCAGTCGCTACAAATACACACACACACACACACACACACACACACATACGCACAGTACTCCTGCTTAAACTGGTTATTATGCACTTGCTCACAACCAATTACAGACAGATACCAATAATATATTCTTTTCCTTCTTCACAAAATGAATACTGGCCATGAAAATGAAAATATCTGTGATGATAAATTCTCAGTAGATAATGGTTTGATCTCCAATTAACATATTCCACTTATGTAGTATAAGTAAATGTCAGTGCGAATAGAGTTTCTAAAGGTTACAGTAAATGTCACCTTCAGTCCTCTGTTTAAAAATGGTACGTTGGTGTTAATATTCACAAGCTTCATAGTATATGTAACATGTATTCTTCGGGAATAGAAATGATGTTGGCAGAAATGGCTTCTTCAAAATAACACTTACAGTTTAGTCATGTATCAGGGAATGTTATTAATATGTTCAGATGTCAGTTAAAGAGGCATAGTAAAAAGAGAAAAATTATTTGAGCAATTCACAGATTGTGTTGCCCAGGGCTCTGTGAGTTTAAAGCTGCACTCATCAATATTTTTGACATTATCAATGGAGCAAATTATGACTTGCAATGTGAAAGAGGTCAGTGGTAGTGATGAACTCACAGAGAATTATCACCCATCTTTGCAGTTCAACTCAGCTCCACATTGTTTTTGACTATTTTGCATCACGGTTTTGGTTTTCTGATCCACAGTTCTGTTCTCATCATCATGCGGCATCAGGCTACTGTTTTCAACAAATGGGTGGACACCAAAACAGAGCCAAAAGCCAGGTGAATATTGGCCTTAAGTGAATCAAGACACAGGAAATAGAACTCAAAACAACTGCTAATTTTGCTCCTGCTGGATGTGTAAATAGGCAACTGTTTGCTGACTTGTTTGCCATAATGCCTCTTTAAGGGGATAATATATAAATGTTGTGTTTTAAGCCTTTAACACTACTCCAGAGAGCTTAAAAAAATCAGTTACTGCAGCTTTTAATGTTGGGGTTGCACTCCTTACCAGCTCCCACCAACAAGTGATGGATGTTAAGTTTCAAGTAAATTTGAAAGCATGACAAGAAACATTCATTTACCTCCAGGGTATTGCAAACTCAGAGGTAGACATACTAGAGACATCTGTGATATCTGAAAATCTGGATAAATAAAATATAAACTATTTGCATGGATGGATAATGTAATGTTTTTATTTTTTTGCAGTTGGTTCTCTCAAATTATAAACTTTGTCCATACATACGGAGCATGTCAATCATGCAGAAGGTCTAGTGAGATAAAGGAGACACTTTAGGTTCAGGTACAAATCTTTTAACATAAATGTCAGTTTTTATAATTAATGCTATACAGTGTGAATACATAAAAACTGAAAGAGAGGTAAAAGTGTCTCCACCACAGACTGCATGCTATTGACTGAACACTATAAGGGACTCTTCTCACATTCACACAAGTAATCAATCATGTCAGTCAAGACAATGAGGTGATCTTTACAAAATGACAAGCATTCGTTCCTTTGATAATTATTCCCCTGCTGCTGGTTAAACTACCCTCTCCTCTCCACAAAGACTACACAAAGCTATTACTTGTTGTGCGGTTTAATTTCTCTGCTTGCACCCTCACCTCCCCCTGTTCTAGCTTCTTGACAATGGCATCTCTTACCTTTAACATTATGTGTGCCCATATCTCAGTGAAATGTCTGTAGGGCTGTTACCACTGCTCAGATTGCAGGGCACCCTCATGAGCAGAGCCCATTACTCCAAATAAAAGTGTAACCATTTGTCACAATACACAAGTGTCACTGACAAATGGTGCAGCTCTGCTCAGGGGGAGTGCTGCTGGTGAATGATAGGAACACCATCCACAGGTGTTGCAGAGAAAGACTCTAGGAAATAGGGGTTGACGGTTTGAGTGGGGTCATAATTGTTTAAAGTGAGCAAAGCTGATGTGTGCAAAGCAAATTTGCCCAACTGGGCAGCACTGCCAGGTGCATTCATGACAGATCCACTCAGCAGTAGTAAGATAAATAAAAAAGGAGTATGGTTATCCGAATGGAAAATCCTGCTTGTCCTGGCAATGTGAGATAGAACAGATTCCCTACTGAGTTGTAACTGTTTAACTGTAACTGCATTGTAATTGATTAGTGTTACTTTTGGCTTGCCATTATATCAGCAGGTATTTGACAATAATGGCAGTTTTAAAGTAAGATGTTTATTACTGATGCATTAAGGAAGATTAATAGTGCTCCTTTTCCATGGCTGAATTTGCTGTTGGTCACTGTGAGTGTGAGTGCATTTCCTTGTGTTAATAGAAGAAGTAATTCAGATGGCATTAAGTGTCGTTCCATATTTACTGTTGCAAAATTTGTTGTATAGGAGACAGGGTTGTGTGAGCAAAATATAAATTAAAATTTGAAAGCACTAAAACTAGATTTTGATACAGAGCATCTGTAGAAGAGGGATAAAACATTAACTAATTAGAGACTATCTTGCGATGGACTCACACCAACTATGACACCTGTCAACATGTTGATGTTCCGTCCCATCAGCAGACCTACTCAGTAGTTCTTACTAAATTATTACATGCTTACGGGTCGAACCACACCCATCTTCATACTTGGCCTACATTTTGATTTCAATTACACACTTGTAAAGTTTTTTGACTATATCTTGTGTGGTTGTGACGCAATCGCGGTGACAAAATCTTGTCCACATACATATAAACACTTACCAAAGTACTCAAAACTGCCTCTGTGGTAGTAGTTGTACCGCAGTAGCTGTTGTCTCCAGGACCACTTTTT